ACTTTGTAAGGATACTTTCTAAAAAAAAAATAATTATAATAAAATTATGGTTGAACTAAGGCTCCGTCTACTTGCTCGTAATCGTAATCAAAATTTTCATTACGTTTGATTATGTTTACCAAAATAAATAAATGGGAATAAAATGTAGGACTTACTCCAATTTTAGAATCACCCCAAAAAAATGTGCAATCTAAAATAGCTGTCTAATCTCATTCCAATTCCTTAATCTGTTAGATTCACAATACATTTTTTTTTTGGTAATTTGACAACCAATGTCTTTTTCTCTCTCATGTAGACTCACGATTTTTTGCTTTCATAGAGTTCTTTTTTCAACTTCTCCATTGCCGCTTTTTCTCTTCTTATTTGCTTGTTTATATTATAAAATTATTTAATTTTAGATTGAATTGATAAAAGAAAGTTTATTATAATAAATAATGTAATAATAATATCAAATAAAGTGTAAAAAAAAATTTATACTTAAATACAAAATATATAATTTATTATTATTAAGTAAAATAATATAAGTAGATCTAAAAATTATTATAAGTAATTTTTTTTTCAATATAAAAAATCTCATAAAATCCTTTTTAATTAATGTAATTTTATATTAGTTATAAATATATAAGGATATTTTGGTAATCAGCATATGTCTGATTACGATTTCAAAGGGAAGTAAACACCATGAATTGATTTCTGATTTCGATTCCACATATGTTCAAGTAAATAATATCAATGGAATAACATTCTCATTCCGATTGATTTCATTACGATTGAGAGTAAGTAAACGGGACCTAATAATATGTCTTATCTACTGTATGACATCTTTCTTACACGACGCCCTTTTTTAGTTGCTAGGTCCTTGCCTCTCTTTGTAACATTTAAAAGAAACATGTCACGCATTAAAAAGATGTGACAAAAAAAAACTATCCATATTTAAGACATCAGTATATTTAATGGATCCGCAATTTGAGTCACCTATGTAATGACACATTAAGGTTATATTTACTTCAAGGAATGATAATAATGGGAATGATTTTTTTCCAATCTCTTGACGGTGTTTACCAATTGTAGGAATGGTAGGACCAACTTCAAATTTAACCTTTCAATCAGAAGAAACTTTCTTTTTGGCTTTGAAGCTATGGGAACGAAAATGCTACTTACTAGTTTTTCGATAGGAATTTGGGCATGGCCAAGCTCTATAGGAAAGAAAATAGCATAGGCATCGCAACTGCTGGTCTTTGTCGTTTCGTTTAGTTTTAATTTTGAACATTTTTATGAGATGAACGTAATAGACCGACTTTAGTAATCTCATTCACCTTCATTAATTTGATTCTCATTCTTATTTCATGGGCCCCAAACATTTATTGTAATTACTTTATTTCCTTCTTTCTTTCTTGGATAACTGGGAATCAAAGTTTTTATTCTAAGTAATTTACTACCTTTACCTTTCTCTCTCGTATATTAATGAGATTCATAACTTTTTTAATTAATTATTTTATACTTTTATCATTTCTTTTTCATTTATACAATTTTTATCAGTTGATATGATTTTATTATAAAAAGTTATAAATTTATATTTAATTTTTTAGTTTTTTTTATTTTACTTTGTTATTATTAATTAATATCAATAAATCTTTTAAAAATATAATTTATTATTATTAAATATTAGAATAATAAATTTTAATAATATTTAAATGATGATAAAATGAAAAGATATTTTAGTTGATGAAATTTTATTTTTATTTTAATTATTTATAATATTAAATAGATTGTTATAATAAATATATCTACTATCAATAATATAGTAATAAAATAAAGTAAAAATTATTACTATTTTAACGTATTTGTAATTAACTAGAAAGAAGAAAGGATATCCTAGTACTTCTTATATATCTGATTCCGATTCCAAACAATTTTAGTAAACAACATGAAAGGAATTCTAATTTCGATTCCAATTTTAGAAAATTTCTAGTCAACGACATTAAATGAATAACATTCTCAATCCGATTGATTTCATTCTAATTCATTCCTAATCCGATTCTTGGTAAATAAACAGAACCTAAACATAATATTAAATGACACCAACCACGGAGCATAATTGTCAAGGCATCAAACGGTTCCTTCTAGGGAGGGAACACATTGAAGTCAAACACAAATTATAGAGACAAAATACTAAAATCTTAAAATAATGTTTGGTCTTCTTTAGAAGTCATGTCGAGTGTTTATATAATTCATAAGAAATATAATATAATATAATATAATAATGTTGAGTGCTGATTCGACAGTCAAATTTTGGTAGAGATGATAATTAAAAATATAATATATTTCTTCAATCATTTTTCAAGTTTCTTCTGTTGTTGAAAGGATCTACTAAATTTTCTTCAAAAGAAGGATCTCCCAATGGCATATTTTCTCTTCCATCTTCCGAAAACAAATCAAATGTTGTGCTAATTCAATGGTTAAAGGTGATGGATATAATTAAATTTTCAACCATTTCAAAGTTTCCACAAGGACTTTTGGGCAGCAAAAATCATGTCCAAATAAGTCCACTTCTAAGTGGAGGGCTTTCCTACCCTTTTTATAAATAAAATATATGATAAAGTTTCGATAACTTTATTTTAAAAAAAAAAAAAGTAACCCAAGATCACAATCATTAACTCCATCAATTTAACATTTACCCCACCAAACACAAGAACCTGCCCAAAATTAATCTATCACATAATCCAATACAATTAACATGGTGTCAATTTGGCACTTCATCAATAACAGTAAGGACAATTTAAAAATGTATAGTTTTATTAGAAATTTTTTTTAATATAGTGACACTAAACAATTTGGTATCCAATAGATTTCTATCATCAACTCCATCAATTTAAGAATACCTCAACTTGCAAAAATTATCATCCTTAAGCAATGCAATGCATACACTGAATTTAGCGCTTCATCAGCAACAATAAAGACAATTGAAAATTTAAAGACGTATTAGAAACTTATTAGAAAGTATTTTTGAAAAGTTGGGTAGCAAAAAATAGGGAGTTTTTTAGGCATGAAAAAAACGTGGAGGCAATCATCAGTGTGTCCCAAATTCATGTACAAGATGAGAGACATGAACAGAAGCAGGCTGGGAGCCACAAATTTAAAAAGAAAAAAAATCATCTAAAATTTGCCACTTTCTTTACCAACTCCAACTCCAAGATTGTGCAGGCAAAACACGTTTCCCAAATTTCATTTCTAAAAGGGACAACACAATCTCGCCCCCACAGGCCACAGCCACAAATTTCTGTGTCTCTTTCGCTTCCCCTACTTGCAAATGAACAAAAAACACAAAAACAAAAACTAGTCCATAGTAATTTTAGAGACAACGACGGGAGGTGCAGTTAGCAGTTTCCATCTCAACCTCAGAGTTTCTGTCGTTAACCCGGCCCCGGCCCCGGCCCCGGCCCAATCTAAAATAAGGGAATTTTTAACTTTTATTATAGACTTAGGTGAGGTGGGTGAATCAACTTTAACCTTAAACTTTCAATTTCATTGACTTAAACTATAAAGTTTAAATCTGAATAAGCGTTGTGATTTCTATATACTTATTAAATACGTGATGCAATTAATACTCTCGGTTATTTAAGTTTTCATTTCTTTTAAAATATTTGTGACTARCTTTAGCTATGACTCYTCTTATAGTTGTATAAGACTATTTTTGCAAGTATTGGTTATTTAAGCTGTCTATAAATATAGACGTTTTGTGTTTGCTTGATTTTGTGGCTATGTTTCTTGTGTTTTTGTGATTAGTTTTGGGCATTTCTTTGACATGGTTTTATGTGTTGAACAAATAAATCCGAAAAATCAACCAAACTACGTTGGTCGGTCGGTTTAAACCGAATTGCAGGTGGGGAAACCGACACGTTGGTCGGAGTGGCGGAAAATGCCATTCCAACAAACGGCATCTCTCTTGTTCACGTGATTCATGTCGAACCAAATTCTCTCTTTTTTCTAACATGAAATCTCTCTCTACTCCCTCCCCTCTTTTTCCTCTCATTCTCTCTTCTTTCTAAGTTCTCATCTCCCCCTGTTTCCTCCCATTCTCTCCCAAAACCGGTCGAACCGAGGGACGGTTGATCAATTGGTACAAACCTTAAAGTATCTATAGTTTCCGGTCGACCAACCAAAACTGAATGGACAATTTTTAGTGTCGATTACGATACAATATCGATACCAACCAACCAATATTCACCCCTACCAGCGACCAGTCGCTTTAGGGACAATTTTAAATTTAATTTAGTAGAGGTAATAAATTGTCACACTTATTGAAGTTAAAGTTCAAAGTTTAAAAAGGATAAAATTGAAAGTTTATGGGGGAGGAAATRAGAGATTTGGGCTAAAGTCTTGCATGTAAGGGTTAGTGCATATCAATTGGGCAAACAACAATGTGGCAGCCCATGCCTTAGCAACTAGAGGTGTGGAGTCTGGTTTATCAGACACATGGATTTCTTCCTCTCCCAAATGGTTACGGAAGTACTTGGACATGTGATGTGGATGTGGATATTTGTAGCCTTGTGGTATGTTTTTCACTAAACAAATTTTCTCAGGTATGTTTTTCCATTTTTAAAAACCACAATTTCGAAAACAAAAATAAGTTCTTAAAAACTACTTTTCCTAGATTTTAAAATTTAGCTTAGATTTTGAAAATGTTTTAAAAAAGTAGGTAACAAAATAACACATCGGTGAATTTGAAAATAGTTATTAAACGAGCCCTAAACTTTCAAGTTCAATCCATTTTAATTTCTAAACTTTCACATATCTATTTAGTCTTTGAACTTTTTAAAASACTGAAATGAGCATATATTAGAGGATGGGTATGTATTGAGATATTAGGTGACAAAATAACAGCAATTATCAAATGATTGTTTCTTTTAGTTCAAGGATTAAAATAGATATCTTGAAAATTCATTATTTTTCAAAACATTTTGAGAGTACACTAACCATGATAAAGTAACTTAAACCTATATATAACCAGAGGATTAATTGCTGCAAAAAGAAAGAATACTATCACAATACCACAAACTGCAAACTCAGAAAATACATGGAAGAATATCTCAATATCAGTTTAACTTTAGTTTATAAGATACTTAACTAATAACTAATAAGAAACCAAAAAAAAAAAATCAATTTGGTAATCTAATTTCATTGAATTTTAAAGGTTCCTGCGTGCTAACCTCTTATTCCTGAAGCCTTTCACATCTCTGGCATGAAGCACATTGCTGAAAGAACATGTCTGAATCACACTTTTCACGCACAGCTACATGGATCTGTTTCCTCCCTTTCCAGCTAACGTCCTTTTGATAAATGACAGAACATAAGAGCAATCATTTATCAGTTTTTCCCTCGGGAGGTCCTCTCGCTATAGGGATTTCGCCACGAAAACTGGTTACAGGTTTTGCGTAGTCCACAAAAATGACCCTTCCGTTCAACGCCTGCAGCAGAAAACCATTAGATTTAAATTTCTAGGATGAAAGAAGTAATGAAATAGAGGGAAGTGCTAGCAGACTTTGCCATTCATATCTGTCAGCGCTTTATGAGCTTCGTCTTCGGATGCGAAGGTGACGAATCCGAATCCTTTTGACCTATCAGAGACTCTGTTCATCACAACTTTAGCTGGAGTTGAGAAAATTGTGTTATGCTCCATGAAACTAAATTACCATGGTTAGACATGAAAGCTAAAGTGTCTGAATGGAACTCACCTTCAACGACCTGACCGTACTGAGAAAAAGCTTCTGATAATCCTTTTTCTGTGGTGTAAAATGATAGTCCTGAAGCAAAATATTCCAGAGAGAGGATTTCAATAAGACACAAGGAGTTGAAATATGTATAGACTGAAAAGTAATCAAATAGCAAAAAACTCAAGAACGTTATTGTACACAATGACTATTCTTTTTCATAAGAACAGTTTGAAATTCTATTAATCAATGTGACACGTAAGAATCTGCCTGAAAGGGAAATCAACTTGAGATCATGGGTTAACAGTGAAAGAGGGATAAAAATGGGGTTGGTTCCTCAAAATCTAAATCCCATTACACGAGAAGTTAGTGTGGCTGTTTGGCAGAACAAGGCCACACTAACAGTTTGCGACAATCAAGGAATGTATATCACCCATAAATGACATCCAGCAGATTATTTTCAACTTGAAGAACTTAACACATCCTAGATTTGAAAAGTTTAAGGTGCATATATATTCTTGGTCTCTTTAGGTTTTCTTCTTAAGAGAATTGAAGAGAGCTTCTTCTTTGTGAGCTTTTTCCAATGCTTAATGGACGGTTTTGGTTGTCAAAGACAATAAGCAATGGCAACCAAAGTTGGTCTTCCAATACACTTACAGATAGATTCAGGGAGTTCATGCTCAAGGAAGAAGAGGAACAAGCTAAATTGCAGCAAACTCAAAAGAGGTAACATTAGTGGGGAAAATTCTAAGACACAGGAACGTAAATACTGAACTGTCAAGAAAGTGCTAAGATAAATTCGGAGATGGGAGGAACTAACAATTGAAGCTATAGGAAGAAAGATGTTTCACTTCCAATTTCAGGACACAAAAATGAAAGCATCTTAGTAAATTGACCATGGTTCTTCAACAAGTCGGTCGCCCACTTTTTCTTCCCATCCAAGTAAAAACCAAGATAATGTTGATGTCTCAAAAGCAAGGATCATACAAAAAGGCAAGCCCAACAAGGAGCCAATATTACAAAAGAAGGTTTCTATTCTTAAGAATCAAACCTAAAAGGAAAATTATGAATAATTTAGTCATTGACACCTAGAGAGAATCGCTAAAATGGGCCAACCCTACACCTCCTTGCAAGAACCTTCAACATCCTTAAAACCCCTTAGATCTTCATCAAGAAACAGAGAAGTCCCTAACTCGAAATGAAGCAAGTTTACCATTATAGTTTATGGAGCAAGCTAAATTCCTTGATTCTCTTACTCTCTTCCTAGAAGTGCCTCCTTTTTGACTGATTACACCCATTTTCCTAACCTTCATTCCTTTACCGGACTCTTTTGAGGCAAAGCACCAGCAAAGTGATAAGCAGCCATTAAGGCTTGACCATTCATTCAAAACCCGATCTTGAAGTCCCTTCCCCTTGGGGAACCCCACCTAAACACTAATTCAAAGGCAAAGAACTTCTCCTATCAAGAGGAATAGCATTATCTACACACCCTATGCTTGAAGAAAAAGGAAAAGGATGAGAAGAAACATTTACCACATAATTTTAATTTTTTTATAATTGTATCTTTGGCCGTGTGGCAAGAAAGCAATAATGCTTTGTACAACAATTCAAACAAATACACAAACTGTAGGTGGGCCTAAACCTATCTGAATAACCTGGAAAATATTCCAAATGAGAAGGCACTAGAAGCAATGAGAGCTCCCTTCATATCCATTTTCTCCAATGCTAGGGTCAATAACTTTAATATGATCGGGGATGCTGCATGGATTTCAGCAAGTGGCGAACTGGTTTGGGCATAATTGCTTATGATGAATCTTATTATTTAAAAAAAAAAATGCATAAGATAAATATGGTCTGAAGGTTGATATTCAAGTCGAAGTCATAGCATTGAAGCAATGCCACAGTGTCTTGGCAGGGTTACATTAACATTCTAGCTATTGGAGCTTAGGAACTTAGCGATCCGCATGCAATGTTGAGTGGCAAAAAGAACGGTAAGAAAGATGAAGAGGAAGACCTCTTGGCTTGGTGCTTGCGGACATAAGACTCCTAGTTTAGCTAAGGAAGCTCTAACTAGTGGAGCCAGGTATCACATAGATCTGATGGCAACTTGCACCTTTTTTCTTTTCCTTCTATAAATCCTTTACATTCCTTTCACATCTATCCATCATTTTGATCTTTGATATCATTATTAGGAAATAAAAGGACAGAGTATACATATCAATCCTACGAGACTTTTGTAATTTCATACATCAATGAAATTGTTTCTTTCAAAAAAACRTATACATATCAATTAGACGTTTATCCTTTACAGTATACAGAACAGATATCAATTTTGAGACGAATATAAATACATATATCTTAATTGCAAACTTCAAATAAGTTTTCTCCAAATTTTTCCACGATCTTAATTGTAAATCGGTACAGAAGCTCACATTTATATAGTTACAGTTTCACTTGTGATGTTAAAACAAATATTATACTTCACAAAACATAACGCGCGGACATCTCAGAGACCTTACTTCAAACAATTCATAGTCTCGTACAGACTATACAGCTAGCTCAATCCACGGATCCAGAGGAACAGTTAATCAGCAAAGAAAATTCGCGGCAAACAGAGTGATTTCAATTTTCAAATGTAAACTTCAAAGGTAATCGGACATGATGAATCGGAAAATTAGAGAGGAGGAACGTCGAATTTACCTCCAACAAAAAGCTTCGAAGCTATGCCTCTGTAAGAGACGAGACGAGACGGCGGAAATAGAGAGGGAAGAACACGACGACTGGAGTTTACTGCCATCGCTGTTTTCCTAATCGCCGCCATGGTAGTAGTATCACAGTGATACTATGAGTGCATCTTCTAGCAATTTTGGTGGAGAGAGCGGCGGCCGGAGGTTTGATTGGAGCGGCGGCGGCGAGGAGTGGTCGTATAAAAAGATGCAGGGCCCAATTCCACCATGTACTGGGGCAGGCCCAAGGCTGAATTCTAAGTTTACAAATAAAAATTATGATARAAATACATTTTTAATCAACTTGGGATCAGAAGTTTCAAAAAGAATACTYGGTGTCTTTTAGCTTCGAGTTCATCGTTTGAAATTCTTGATTTAGATGGTAAGTCTCGAATATTCAAGTTAGGTTTAATTAACGTTTTTTTAGAGTGTTTAACTTTGAGTAGGGAACTAATTTTTCCTTACTTCTTGGTATTTGATTATCAATACTTCATCAATATTCGATTCAGTTAAAATACTATTCTATTTTGGTCCTTGTAATTTTAGTTTTTGTTTATTTTGACTCTTATATATTCAAAATGTCAATTTTTGTCTTAATCCTTGTACTTTTAACTTCTCTTTATTTTACGTACTTTCAAAATGTCGTTTTTGTCTCTATTATTTTTTTTTTAGAAAGGGATCGTTTTGGTTTGGTCTCTTGATTTTATTTTTTTCCATTTTTTTGATCACAATTTCAATATTTCAATATGACATTATATATTCAATATATTTCTTCAAATGTAGTAATAAGTTCGTATATATTAAAAGATTTTTGCTAAGCATAGAATTTGTGTTAAAATTTTACAAACAATAATCAAAATAATCCCTTTTTAAAAGTATAAAAATAAAAATGAATATTTARAAAATACATGAATAAGTTAAATTTATAGGTAGCAAAATAGACATTTAAAAATAGAAGGACAAAAATGAACCCAACYACGAAAGTAGTATTTTTAACCGTTTAATTTTATTTATCAACTTTTAATATTTACAAATTACAACGTTCGTTTTACTTATTATTATAAAAGTTATCGTTTTTCTTTAACTTTAAACATGACGAGGATGGTGAGATTTTGATTTTCCAACCTTTAGCGAAATTATTGMTTGCTTTAATTAACCACAATAGTAAATGGATTTATCACAAAAATTAGAGTGTAATACGTAGCCAAAGAAAACCAATTACAAAGCAAAAGAGATCAAGAAAGAAAATTACAACCCAATGATCTTTGAAAGGAAAATATTTAAACAAAAGCACATAGACACCGGAGCGGTCACCGTCCGGCCGGCAGCGGCGGCGATTAGTGAGACTTTCTGATGGCGAAAGCAGATAACAAGATGAGGAACATCATCAGAAAAACCGCGATGAAGGATCCGACCACCGCGCCGCTCACTTTCTGGCAGAAATCGCCGAACTGGTCGCAGATCGCCAGCCAGTTGGTGCCGGAGTTGCCGCTGTGGGCCAGGTACACTATAGCGGCGGCGGCGCCGGCTGCTGACGTGGCCAATGTGAGAGCCACCTGCAATTTTTATTTAGCAATGTTCAATTATTATTATTTTTTCTTTTGAGTTAGGGATGAAGATAAAAGGAAATTTGGTTAATTTTTACAGTRTCGAGAATGATGAGGAGCAATCGGATTCCGACTGCAGTCGAGCGAACGATGCAGACGATAGAGAACGGAAGGGAGAGAACCAGGTAACCGCCGACAATTCCCATGGCCACAAGGAAGAATCTGCATCACCGAGACGTTAAATCATAAACTTAAAAGTTTGTCTCGATAAATTTAATTCATATTTTTAGTATCCTCCTTCAATTGTTTATTACTAAAAGGTTCAACAAAAGATGATACTATAAGAGTTTGAATTTTCTACGTGCTCGAAAACTCTAATAGTCAACCAACACAATCAACTAATATAAGTAGAAAATATCATGTTTTTATTAGGTGAATAAAAAATTTTGCATGTTGAATATGTAAACTGTAACGTAGCTAAGCTCAAATGATAGAGAATAGATTTAAATTTTTAGAACAATGTCTCAACTATAAAAATTTGATCTCACGACGATGATCACTTACTGAAAAGTGGGTAGATCGTCGTAACTAGCTTCAAACTGAAAGAACTGAGTGAAGAAAGGAAGAGTTTCGTCGCTAGTTCCCATGGCGGCGGCGGCACCCAAGGCGGCGCCCAAGGCGCCAAGCCTCAGAACAAAGTCAAACACGGCGAGCCCCCGCTTCCACCCGCCGTTCTCTTGGCGGGGAGCGGCGGAAGCAAGCGCTTTCTTCTTGCTGCTGCCACCGGTTTTCGGCATGTCGATGACGGTTGCGTCGCCGGAGTTGTTYATATTCTGAGCCCTTGGAAGAAGTTAATAAGAGGTGAAACTGAGAGAGAGTTTACTCTTAGATGGTTCTCTGTAATGTGGTGGGGAAATGGAAGCTTGAGAACAGTCCTTTAATGGAGGAAGATCAAGGGGTTGGTTGGAAGAGAAAAAAAAGTGAAATTATTTTAAGAATTTATGTGAAGGAGATAATGGAGCAAATTGAAGAAACTCATGGGGGAGTTGTTGCAGAAGGTTCTTAACCTATTTGACTTTAAATTAATCTTTTTCCATAATAAAGCAGGTGGAGAATGAAGATACAATGCTGGAAAAAGAAAATCATATATTTATAACATATATTTATTTAAATGTTTTATTAAACTCTCAAAGTTAAAATTATACTTAATTGCAATTAACGTGACATATTTATTGTTAAATGAATTTTGACTAAATTATTATGATGTGACAGATAGTTTGATAGATCAGTGAATATGTCACGATGATAGGAAAGATATCCTGATAAATTAATACAATATCAATATAATTTGACATATTGAGAAATATATCATGTCATAAATAATATTAAAATATACCAATTAAATTTATGTTTATTTGTTAAAATATTATAGTGTTATTGAGAAATAAGGAATAACAAAGAAATGAGTAACAAGATTGTTATTTGCAGCATCATATACTTAAGTAAAGTTTTTTTTTTCCCCTTTGAACGCTGATGAATCAATCAATTTAAGCATTTTCAACTTCTCCAATCGACCAACTGATTAAGTCGATCCAACCAACCAACATCAATTTGATCGATTTCAACTGGTGTAATCAATTTCTCAAATTTGTTTAATAATCTCATTATCATCTTCTCTTTTACTCATATACAATGGAACACACCTAAGCTGGTTAGTTGTTATTATACCAAAACTTATATACATTTGGCCAAAAAAACTAATGCATTTAACACCACTTAAAAGAACTTTTACCATAACAAATTGAGAAAAATAAATTAGAATCATACAATACAAATACATTGGACAAATTAAAACCAAACAAATAATGTCCAATTAGATAGCATTTGTTTGGCCTAAAATTAAATCACACCAACCAAAAGTCTTTAATTAACTAAGGAATAAGCCCTTAAATCTCTTTAATTAACCAACTAAACCACCTTGTTTTCCCTTATCCAGCCATGATTCATGCTAGGACCAACAACTTTCTTAATCATAAAAGTTTAGGTGCATAATAAAGATCTGGAAGAAAGAAAAAAAAAAGTCATATTGCATTGCATCATGCAAAAGCAGTTGATTTACTAGCTAATCTTGCTTTTGATTTTTATAAATCATATTGATTATGTTGGATCGTTTAATAATGTTGATGTGTCTTGACTTTGATAAACAATAAACATGAACATTTAGATTCCTTAACAATGTTATCTTTTCTTGTCTCTTATTTTTCAACATTTTGAGGAACATAAGTATTTGACCATTGTTTTTGTCTCTATGTCTTGATTTCTCATTTTTAAGAAATATTAAAATTAAATTTATTGTGAGAAACAATAAATAGTTATTAAACATGTTTCTATTTCTTTCTTCAGTTAAAAAAAAACAAAGAAAAAAAGAAACAATTTCCCAACACAGTTTCTTTTTTTATTTATTAAAAGAAACTAAGAAACGATAACAAATGAACTCTCTTGTTTTTTAAGAAACATTTTTCAAAATTGTATATAAATTTTAGAAACAATAAAAACAAGTTTTGTATTTTTTTTTATTTTCAGTTATTTTAACTCATAAATAAAATTATTATTTTATCATTTTTATTTATAGTATGACATAAAAAGGAAGAAACGAAAACAAAACAAAAAAAACAAAAACCCAAGCGTTATTAAATGAGCCCTAAAATGGTAAGTTATGTAAAGCTCTTGGAGTACAACAAAATGTTTGAAAGTTTAGACATCAAAATTATATTCACTTCAAAAGTTTTTCGACCAAATATAGGATTAATGCAAATAATAATATTCGGTACATATTTTTCTGATGGCAAAAATGGTATGCTAATGTTTCATCTAAGGTTCATTGGCTAAAATGGATATCAAACAACAATAAACCACTCAATATAAGATTACAATACCCACAAATCCAGGACAATACAATTGCTTGATTTCTGTAAACAGCTTTCAAATGCTTCGAAAAGAAATCGAACAGAAGCAGAAACGTTACAGATGCTCGACATGAGAACCCGAAAAAGAGGGGGTCAGCAAGTAAATAAATAAATGCATTAAAAACTGCCTGGAGATGGAAAAAATTCCAAGCAGAGTTTGGCCAAGGCTAAGCTTCACATTGTCAATCATGTATGAATTCTCCACCCGCGTGCGACGAGTGCTGAATGTACCCGATTTGCAGCCTCTGCAGTGTCGTTTAGGGGTGAGTAGCTCCAACTTCCTGATATCTGTCAGGAAAGGTTTGATCTGTAACGTCTATGTAATAACGATTGAAAGGAAACCACGGGATTATTGAATATATGCATTCATGTTTAGATTTTTTAAGAACATATGTAAACCTGACCTATTGGCTAAAGTTATTTAGTTTAGCAGATTCAATATGATATTAGAGCAAAAGTTCCTAAGTTTGAATCCATATGCAATCATTTCTTCCCCCAGTTGATATTACCGTTCATGTATTGGACTTTGAAAATTAAATTAATATCTGAGCCGACGGCTCACGTGAAGAAGTGTTAAGAATAGTTATAAACTTAACCTATAAACTAAGACTTCTAAATGTAGTGCACAAGTTATAGTTCTATTAAATGAATCCTGAAAACTTGAGATAACTCAACTCACATCTTCTTTACCAGTGAACGGTCTGACTACTCCTCGTTCAGCCAGGGACTTTTGGAAGTCTGCAAACTTCCACGTGCATCGATCCGCTCCAATCACGTAGACGGGTTTCCTTTCGAAATCATACACATGTCAAACAGAAGAACTTCAATATGAACGATGTTCTGAACCACATTAGTTTCAAGAATGCAACTTGTACTTCAAACATACCCAATACTGCAAGCCTCACTCAACATACTTACTGAGTCAGCCGTTATTACAAATGCATCAGCCCAGGCTAAGTGCCCGAGATGCGGATTCGGTCCTGTGTAACAAAAAATGAATAAAAATCTTAGGCAAACTTCTATGATATACAATAATTATCATATATGTTTTCTGAATAACAAGGCAACTGAAGTACCTTCACCATCCCAAATGTATACTTTAGGATGGGTATTGAATTCTTCCATCAAGAGTTTGGATACCTAATAATATCATACCAGGAGATATAATTACCAAATCCGAGAAGGGAAATATTTCAAGCGATTAGATATCAATGGACACCTTCTTTGGGGTTCGACGTGAGAACGAGATCCGAACACTTCCACAGCTCCAAAGAACATTTTGCAACATAGTAGCTAACTGCTTTGCAAGATCGACACCGTATCGACAATTGCCTGTAAAGATCATATAGATGCAAGGTAGGGCCAATCTATCAAAAGCAAGGCAGGCAGGAGAAAGATCAACATGGGAACAGGTCAGATTTGCAAAGGGAAAAGAGAAAAAAAAACACGATATGAGAAATTCAAAATTGTCTGGATACAATCCCTCATATCCTGATCAACTGGATTGTATCTTCGTGGACTCCAATAGGAAGGTAATATACTTGTGTTTATGGGTATTTCTTTAGCATTTCGTCCGAGGGAAGGAGCTCCTCTAATTCTATAAGTTTTTTATAATAATCTTTTCTTGAATATAATTTTTTAAAAAGGGACAATTTTGAGCAAGTTTTGGACGCGATCTTGGTCAATATCCTTTCTCATACTCCTTTAAAACCAAAAGTAAAAAATTTATGCCTGGTTTGATGGTTGTTTTCTGTTTATAAAAATTAAGCTTGTAAACATAGTTCCACCTATATGTTTGTTTTGTTATCTAATTTTCAAAGGTGTTTTCAATATAAAGCCAAATTTTAAAAACTAAAAGAACATAGTTTTAAAAGACTTGTTTCTGTTTGTGAGTTTGGCTAAAAATTCAAATGTGTTTTCAGAGAATAAAAAAAACATAACATACAAATTGTGAGGAAGTAAGCATAATTTTAAAAATAGAAAACTAAAAACAAATGGTTATCAAATGAAGCATGCCTTACTTGATGGGCCTCCAATATTAACCACAAGCAGTGGTTTTGGAAGAGAAGCCAGTTCCTCATGCCAAGCAGAAGCTGCACTTCTAAGTGCAGCAAAATCAGCCTGATGAAGAGCTCCAACAGTAAGAACCTGTATATCAAGGTTCCAATGATGAACAAATGTAACAATCAAGAAAAAATTACCATCATTTCTCTTGAGCTGTTTATGGCATCAAATACATGTGCAGAGCCAAGATACTTGCCACATTTTTTCCAGGAGGTTCACAAGGAGTAATCCACCGGCGAACCAACCAAGGAATCTGTTGTCGTGCTTGAGGATTCAACGAGTAATAATCATGACGAGGAGCAATCACCAAATCAAATCTATCTAGCCGAGATCTCGGATGTTGAATCTGAAACAATACATTACATAAACCAGTAGAGTCAGCTGTTATTAATGTTAAAAGAGCATAGAGAATAAGGCTCCATATATAAAATAAGAGCCCACAACTGACTATCTCAACAATTTCAGTCCACCACAGTCCCTTTTAAGGGGATTTTAGAGAGAAGGGGGTTTCACCTGGACAACAAATACATTTTCTGGAGCAAACCGTTTAATAGAGCTGGCAATCGAAATTGTATCTCGGCCAGATGCGATTACGAGCAACGGGCCATACCTAATAATAAAAATTATAGGGTAGCACATTAAGCGAACAATTTGAATTAGCACTGAAGTTTAGTAGGACCTCCTCATTTTAGCCTTTGGGGCTAATAAGTAATCATTCAATTGAATGAAATCACTCTACTGGGAATAAGTCCAATAGTTGCCAAACTATATATGTGATAAAGGAGTCAAATATTTATTTGAGGAACAGTTGTCAACTAGTCATAACCTCAAGAATCGGACATGGCAGTAAAGGGAATCTCACATACAATGTATTATATTCCACAAAAGTTCCCAACAAATCATAAGATAAGAGAGAACATAAGGAACGTACTGATCAAACGTTTCCCGTGCCACTTTTGCAATTTGTTTTGCATCAGCTTCTAAGACGTGTAATAAGCCTGCAAATACTCATCAGGAATAGCTTTCAGTGTCTGACATTGGGTGTTTAAAGGATCAAGTTCAAATAATGGATTAAGTTTCTTGTAATTAAAAGATTTTATTAGTGCATATTTTGTATCGGCCTCTTCAACCCCAATTATATTGGCTTACTTTAGAACTCAAGGACACGAAGGTACAATCTATAGAACAAATCTTGTTCAAGTAAGATCCGCAAACTGATAAGTAGCAGTTAGGCAAAAGATCAGTTGATAACCCCTATGTCAGCTTCACTTTCAAAGAATCATGGTTATCAACTTATAATTAGTTCAACTCATAACTAGCTATTAACATATTCTCTAAATGAGTTGTGATGAATGAGCAATCATTACCATTTTTCTTGCCCAGCAGAGGCATCCCTTTCTTCCCTTCAACTTTTAAGCCGGAACCACCAAAAATTTGCCTGATAAAATGGTCTAATTTCTTGTGAACAGAAACTGGGAGCCAATGAAGCCACTCATTGATCCCTCCCCGTGGCCTCAAAACCCGCTGCACAAACATACATAAATTTGAGTCGTTTAAACCTGTACAAAAATCATTTTGTTTTTAAAAATTAAGCTTATAAACACTAATTTCATCTATGCATGTGCTTTTTTGTTCTATTATTTACTATTTTAAAACACTTTCAAAATGCAAGCTTAAATTTTAAAAGCAAAGAAAATAGTTTTTTAAGACTTGTTTTTGTTTTTAAAATTTGGTTAGGATTTAAGTAGGTAAAAACCATATCAAAGAAATTGATTCTTGTGAAGAATCAAGCACAATTTTCAAAAACAGAAACCTGACTTTTGACATGCATTAATTGATGTATCTCCTATACCTTATCCATCAGAAATCTAAGAGTGAAAGTAAGATACAAAAACRGAGTGAAAAAGGATTAAACGAATACACAAACATCACAGCATAGAACTCTTAAAGAGATTGAATGAACTGGGCTATTCTGGTTAGAAACTTGACACAGAAACTAAAATTCAGCGTCACCAATAAATTGATTTCGTAAAGGTATACTTCATACAAATGATTGTGGAATGGAAACAACAATGTACTCACGTAGAGAGAATGCCGACCTGAAAGGCCGAGAGCACGAACCAAACCGAGACACTGATTTTCCGCGCCGGGGAAGCCATTTCCGATCACGACTGCCCGTCTGATCGCGCCGTAGATCCCGCCGCCGAAGATCTCCGGCACGCCCGCGGACCCATTCGGAGGCTCCGGTCTCATTTCAAAATCCAATGTCTTCAAGTTCACGCTTCTTCGTTTTTGATTCTCTGAAAACCCAATATTTTTTAACTCGACGGTTGTCGCCGGAGGTACGCCGTCGTTCTTGTAATTGAAATGGGCCTGGCCCAGTAAAAGCCCGGCCCATTTTAGGACATCGGCAAAGCCCAAGCCCAAGCCCATGATTTTCCATCTCTTCTTCTTCCCTCCCTCTCGCGAAAATTTCTCCGATTTGGAAAATTTGCTGTGCGGCGACGATGTGGGCGACCGCCGAAGGAGGGCCGCCGGAGGTTACTCTGGAGACTTCTATGGGTTCTTTCACCGTCGAGGTACTCTTTTTTTCTTCTCCATTAAGCTTGAATTTAGCTTTACTCTTTCTCGTTACTTGAGAAACTGGAAAAGTTGAAAAGAAACTTATTAAGATCTTCTGTTAATTGACCGTTTGATTGTAGCTTTACTTCAAACACGCCCCGAGAACATGTAGAAACTTCATCGAACTTTCTCGGCGAGGTTATTACGACAATGTCAAATTCCACCGGATTATTAAGGTTTGTCTCTCCTGCGAAGGCTGTTATTAGCTCCAGGTTGTTCTCTTAAGGTTCAAGCACACTCTCTGTTTTGTATAGGATTTTATAGTTCAAGGTGGAGATCCCACTGGAACAGGACGGGGAGGGGAATCTATTTATGGGTATGTGTTATTTCATTTCTCTGTCAATGGTTTTAGGTTTAATTCTTCTTATTTCATCATGTGACTCTTTTGCTGATTTTTACATGGTTAAGTACTCGAGTCTTCATTATAAGGTGTTAAGTAATTGAGTTTTATGAGGCGTTGATGTGTCTCAGTAAGAAGTTTGAGGATGAAATTAAACCAGAGTTGAAGCATACTGGAGCTGGTATTTTATCGATGGCAAATGCTGGTCCTGATACAAATGGAAGCCAATTCTTTATCACCCTTGCTCCTTGCCCATCCTTAGATGGTAAGCACTTTTCTAGTTATTCTTTCTCTCTCTTTCTTTTTTAAAGTTATGCCAATCAATTTATGTGCATTCAAGAGGAAATGATTTAAAATGGCTCCTTTAGTATTTGAGATTCTACATCGACTTAGTAGAATGAATGTTGACTCAGGGAGATTCAATAGGAGCTTCATTTATTCCCGACTAATTTCATGAGTCTACGTTGATTCCAGATGCATGTATATGAATCTATGATGATGTAGCACAAATGATATAGATTTTCAAATATGAGTTATAGGTTTCTAGATCATTTTGGTTTGTTCGAGGTCAGGAGAATGAAGTACTTGAAATCTGTCAACTTTAAGTACCTTTTTGAATGAAAGCAGCACCAGGAGGATCGAACACGCTATCTGTCGACTTTAAGTACTTTATCAAGTATTAACTGCCTCAGTGTTTCAATTTTTAGGTCTTTGTACTGATCTTTAAACTTTTATAGTGCATGACCGATTGGACCAATGAGTGTATGGTTGAAGCTTTCTGCACTCCAGAAATTAAACCTGCTGCTTAAGTTTGTTGAATTCTAATATTTCTTAAATGCATTCTTCTCTATGTCCAGGAAAGCACTCAATCTTTGGAAGAGTTTGTAGGGGAATGGAAATAATCAAAAGGCTTGGCAGTGTACAAACTGATAACAATGATAGGTATCCTTCTCATTTGCTATATCCCCATATTTCTAGTACTATGACTGACTGCAAAACACTGGATTTGATTGAAAAGGCTTACAAATCTCTGAGTTCTCTGATATTTTGATGCCGAGGAGAAACATTTTTATGATAAGAAACAAGTTCCACTCCAATAAAAAGAGAAGTACAAAAAAGGTAGATAAGCTAGCCACCTTCCTGCCAAGAGGTTTATATTAGCTAAGGGTTTTAGTCCTTCATAGAACTATTGCACAAACCAGTCCAGTTTGGGATAGGACCATTGTAAGGAACTTCTTTCGACTTTTCTTATTTACTGTATTTATACCGCCCAATGCTGAACTCCAAATATCACAGAGAGAATTTAATTTTCAGCTAGTAACTTTCTAAATAGTCTTAACTGTAAGGGAATCCACAATTGGAAGAGAATGGGGCGGTGAGTGAAGAGGGAGTTATGAGTATAGGACTACAAGGTTCTAAAGTCCATCATTTTGTGCCAAGTAAGGTATTCAACGGTACAATGCAAAGCAAATATGAAAGGGGAAACCAGTTTTCAAGCTCTTTCATTCAATAAACCCCCTTCTAAAATGCAAGTTACAATTTTGGTATTTCTATTCAACAATATTTCCTTGGTTGTAATCTTCGTCGACGGAACCATGGTGGGCTCCTAACCCCAGGTCCCTGGCTCTGATAGTAATCTTCCTGGAGTCCTAAACCTTATATCTCCCAATCATCACTTCTCCCCGAAAGGGAACTCTTGATACATTATCCACTTTCTGTAACTCCTTTGGTTTTTTTTGTGGATTTTCCCCTTTTGTAATTTCAATCATCAATGAAGTTGTTTCTTATCAAAAAAATAAAATTAAATTAATCCACCTTGAGTACATTTAGAAACTGAAGTCCATGAATTCCATCTTTTATATCTTTGAGGAACCAATCATTTCAGTGCAATCCATGCTTATGAAGAAATCTCCAATTCCACTCAGATATAAGATCTAAGTTCCCAAAAAATAAAAATAAAAAAATTCCTCGGACTGTATCTGATTCCAGTATCTTGCTTTTAGAAAGTTCTCTTCAATATCAATGCCAGATGAAAAACTTAGAAAATTCTCTCAATATCAACGCCAGATGAAAAACTTACTTAGAGAGGTCGATTTTCAAACTCAAGACCAATGTACAAATGTTCAAGACTGCTTAGATTGATGGATTTTTCTTCACTGTATGCTCTAACTGAAACAGCCGATGCTAGAATTCTGGTACTGGTACCATCTCTGATCTTTCTTTGGCATCATGTCCATGAGCTGATATACCATCATTCAATTTCATCCTTAATTAAAAATTTCAATTCACATATGGCATTTTGACACAAGGTAGTAAGGACTTAATCGAAAATAAAACCCCACTCTTATTAGTGTATTAGAGTCAATGGTTCAATACATAAAGGAGGGAAATTAAAACTTTAAAAAGAATGGCAGTTGTATATTTAGTCTCAATATCAATATTATTCATGAAGTTACTTTTGCCAGTCTCCCAAAGTGTTGTGAGATCATATTAGCAGAAATGAGTTGAGTGAGGCTAATTCAATTGTGTTTTCTTGTGGTACAGACCCATCCATGATGTGAAAATTCTACGAGCATCGGTTAAAGACTAAAGCTTTCGGTTATTAACTACTTTTAACACACTCGTACCGTTTGTATCGACCGTGTATGCAGCAATCGAGACCTTGTATTTTTGTCATGACAGAAGGAATGAAGAATTTCCATTGTTGGTTGGAGAAAGAACTGGCAGAAATGGTCTTTCAATCTCATTGTGTAAGTGGTATCCAAAACTCATAACTGTATGACTTCTTTCCCATCTCATCATAGTTTTCTGAATTATAATTCTTTATTTGGACACCACAACATTTTCCCTTCGTTCTTAGCAAAAGAAATCATGAACCAGAAATTTAGGAGAAACTCAAGTCCCTTCTCATTATTCTAAAACTGAGGATTACAGAAAAAAATGATTTATATAGACTTGAGAAAAAACTCCTATTACACAATGAAACTGCCGTTTTAAGTAAAACAGAAACTAAAATTGCTAATACCAGTAATGAACAGCTAAACACTCACCACACCAGAAATGCAAGAATTCATAGTAAATCACTGCCACGTAGTCAGCCAGCTGTAGAAGACTTGGTGTGCTGTCTTAACAATTCTCATTATTAGAAACCCTTTGTAATTGGATTAAGAAATACAGTGGAAAATAGGAATTGAATTATTATTATTATTTAAAAATGACTTTGAATTTGGTTTAATGTATAATTGTTATTTAATTTAAAGAAATATAGTGGAAAATATGAATGCAATTCATAGCCAGAGATGACGTGGAGGATGAGATTGGGAGTTGATAATCCTGCATTTTAAACATCCTCATTTCATTTGAAAAAATAAATTTTGAAAATTGATTTTTTTTTTTTTTGGGAATTGACAAAATTGATCGACGACAAAGTTGACTGCCTTCAACTGTTATTCGACAAAATTTAACTGACCGACCAATTTGGTTTCTGTCAATTTTGGCTTCTTGCATAAATGGAGATTTGGTACTTCAAGTTTTGGCCTCCATAATGTTTTTTATTTTTTTAAATAATAAGTCTGAATTTTTAAATTTAAAAATAAAGGTTTTTTTTTCGCAAAGGAAAATTTAGAATAGAATTTATCCCATATTTTTAAATTAACTAAAATAAGTACCTACCCGATTAAGTTTTGTTGACAATATAACAAAGTTAATAATAATTATAATAATAACCAAAAAAACATGAGGCTTTCGTTTCATGCACTTTTTTTTTTTCCTAATAATGCTAAATTAGAATTTTTTTTTTCCCCTAATAATGCACTTTGGTGATGTGGCTGTACTTGGAAGAGTAATATTTTGTCAAATAAATTTCTAATTTTCAATATATTGTTAAAGGACTTATCTCCAACTGAAAAATATTCATGAGTTTGAATCTCTGTTGGAGTAACTCAAAAAAAAGAAGGAAAAAAAAGCAAGCCTCTGCAAAAACAAAATGATTCTCGTTTCCAAGTAGTCATCATAAGAAATTTGATACTAAAATTGAAATTTCTTGAACCTTATGATTGTCTAAACACACCCAACTAATCAAAATCTACAGGAAAACCCTTCAGATACAGACACCAAGAACTCAAAAACCATTAAAATTCTATAGTTCATTCATCCCATTAGTTCACTTCTTAACAACTAAACCCTAGAAGAAGAAAAAGAAGAAGAATGGGGAAAAACTAAGCAGAGAATTAATGATTGAACAGAGGAGAGCATCCCAACCGAAAAACACAGAACGCTTCCCCTTCAGATCGGGGGAAAATGTAAATCCAAATCGAAATCAAAATCAAAATCTATTGGAATCGAATTCAATCAAGAAATCCTGTTTTGTGCCATACGGCGTTTCTTACTCGGCGTAGATCCCTCCCTTTCAGAGTCCTCCCTACGCCTTCCAGCACCGAGAACGTGGTTTTCGGCGACACGCCGGAGCCTCTCGCCACGATCTCGTGCGGCGGCAGCATCTCCTCCTCCTCCGCAACAATATCGCCGTTCCTCTGTTTCCTCATCGCAGGCACGTTAATCGGAGCCGATTGCTGAAACTTTCTCGAAGAAGGCACGGATTGAGAGTATTCTCTGACATTCTGCAGCGGCCTGGGAATCGATCGCGACGAGGAGGGGGATATCGCTGCCGAAATCGAATTTCCTCGAGTCAGAACCGTTCCGATTCCGACTCTCTGTTTGCGATCGCCATCGAAGTCATCGGTTAACGCCGCGAGAACGCCTGAATTTCCGGAACTGGAGCCGCCATCGTCTCTAGAGATTCTGGAGCGGAACTGACGGTTATTGGATAGGGCGAAATCGCCGGTCCAGAAGACCTCTGATTCGTTGAACTCGTCGCTGGCGGCGGCGTCGGAGGGAGGAGGATAGGAGGACGGCGGCGGGGATGAGAAGAGGTGGAGAAAGTGGTGGCTGGAAGAAGACGACTGCCGGAGAAGATAGCCGGAGGCGGCGGCGGGGGCGGAAGAGTCCATTTTGTGGAGTAGAAATTAAGGGGATGCGGCGGAGAGACGGTGGAAAGGGAGAATTAAAAAGAAGAGAATTGGAATTGAAAAGTGATGGAATCCACCGAAAGGGCGTCACAGTCGTGGGGCCGTGACGTGGCAGTCGCCGTCGGCGTCCTCGTTTTGCCTCTCTGACGTACTCCATCAACAAATGTCAAGTTAAGTCTTTATAAGGTTTGTTGGATTTTTTATTCCTTTGCTTATAAATTACAAATTATAAATTTGGTCGGTCTCCTATTTTTTCCAAAAAAGTCTCATAAACATGATCATAAATATCCCTCCATTTCCATCTACACTTGCGTGGTTTGTCATCGACACAAAGATAAACAGATATTTTCATATTTTTGCAAAAATATCAATAAAAATATCAAAAATATCAAAAAAAAAAATCTTATTAACGTAGACATAATATTAATACAATTATTTTGACGAGACACTTCTTTATTAATTTAAATAATTTTTAAGAATTTTTTATTTTTATAAATTTTTAAAAAATATCTATCGATATATATTGACATTTTATCGATATTCCTATTGACATTTGTATGAAATTGAGAACTCGACATTTCTATCGATATCGATCTTTAAAACCTTACTCATAAGTAATATAATCCATGCAATTTTGTACTCAAAAAATAAAAAATAAAAAATTTATACAATTTTTAATGTTTATAAACTTTACAAATATTTTTAAGTTACTGGTCTATCAACTTGAATATAGGATTACAACTAAAAAAACTTAATATAAGATTTAGTGCATATATTATCGAAGAGGTTCAAATTCTCACCCCTCTTATCGACTATAAGAATTCAATATAACTTGATGATCTAATTAAGTTATACTTTTCGAAAGGTTGAATAATTCTCACACCTAGTTAAAATATTTATACTTTCCAGAAGGCAATATGTTTCAATGGGATTCAACATTTTAAGAGAAGGCAAGAAAAAAAAATTGATGTATTACGGCTCTGGATTTTTTGTATTTTTAAATACTATCTCTATATTTAAAGATCATTCTAATTCAATGTGACTAAGCTAGTCAATTAATACATATATTTGTTAGAAAAAGTGTTAATGCATATATATATATAGAAATCGTAGTTTCAAATCCCACTGTATATATTGTTAACTGAAAAATATACCTCTTTGAGCTTATCCTCTTTTATCTCCTCCATGGGATTGGGAGTAAGACGTCTAACAAAGAGTTGGGAGTTTAATTACAATTCTTGGGTATATATATGTAAAGAAAAATATGAAAAGGTAATGAAAGTTGTTGAGGTAGAATTGGATTCGGTCTTAGAAGTTGATGTTATGACAAACACTTGCACACATAAGAGACTTACCTATTATTATGGTATTAAGCTCAACGTACTCTGATGTCTAAGTTAGCAAAGAGTTTCGTTGAGAATAGCAAAATTGTTGAACGTATCTCACGCTCATGCGTCTCGAGTTGGTTCGAGTGGACCCACTCGATCAGATCTAGTCGGTTCAATCGAGTGATACGATTCTGGTCAAGTGATTCAGCCTGATTGAGTCAAGTGTGGTCTGATCTAGTAGTCGACCTGTCCTAGTCTGGTCGTGTGCTCCAACTCTGGCTTGGTGGTCTATAGCCTAGGCATCTCAAACCTACTCGTTTTCTTAGCCTCACTTATGGTGAAACTAGTATGATAATTTCACTCACAACACGCATGGTTGTCACGTGCCAACAACACGATTAAATATAAGAAAGATATCAAATGTTTTTGTTTTTATAACTATGTATAACTATAATGAGAGTGATGCTTGTATATGGTGATACACGAGTTGCATAGTTGTGAATGATATTTTGCATGGTTAAATTGAGGAGAGACGATATGACAAATAAAATATTACAATAAATTATGAAAACTTGTTTTTATTAAGAACTTTAAGAGAACAAATACATTGTTTTGACGAGGAGAAAGTAACAGTTAGATTATCAAATCAGAAAGTAATTTTATCCTACAAAAATTGTTAAAGCTAGTTTAAAATTTGTAAAAGGAGGAAATTATAGTGGTAATTTTAAGGGTGTTTTGTTTTGAATAAAAAACAACTTTTCAATTTGTTTCGAAAAATTAGAAAATAATATATGAGAATTACTTGTTCTTAAAGTTATATTTTCTTTGTTTTGATGAATGATAACATACTTTATCCATTAAAGTTACCCCCTAATTGTAAACTTAGGATATTCTGTAGAATTAAGTTGTAACAATAATTTTGAAAGTAAGCAGCAAAAGAAAAAAAAATCAAAATACATGACAAATGATGGATTTTTTAGGTCTCATCCAACCTATTGAAGAAAATAGTAAAAATTGTATTTTAATATATATATATATTTTGATAATCTGAACTTTAATAAGTTATAATATTAAAAATGGATTAATACATTAATTTATAGTCTTGTCAGAGAAAAGGAGACTGTACTTCTAATTATAAATTAATATCAAATAAATAATATTAGCGTCTCCATCAACAATTAGACAGTTCGGCCGAGYGGTCTAAAACGCCAGATTTAGGCTCTGGTCCGAAAGGGCGTGGGTTCAAATCTCACAGCTGTCAATTATTTTTTCTTATTTCCATTATAACCATACGGTGTCGTATCACCACTCCTCCCTCCAAAATTCCCTTTTTGACCTTTCATGAAAAATTAATATCGAGAGAAAAAAGTTTCTTCCTCCGGTTGAAAATATGGCCGGAATTTTCAGAAACAAATCGGGCGTCGCCCTCCTCGCTCGGCTCCTCCACCCGCCGGATTTCTCTTTTCACGGCCGCTCGAGGAGATCCTTTCAAACCCTCGCCTACGAAGAGCTCCAGACCTCACCGGACCGACCTTACGATTCCACTGCTTTCATCCTTCACGGCCTCTTGGGATCGGGAAGAAATTGGAGGTCTTTCTCTCGCAATCTCCTTTCGCGGCTTTCCGATTCCTCTTCTACTGGTATGATTCCACTATGAAAATATGCCAAATCGGTTCTACACTATTAGACGGATTGATTTCTCTAATTTTGTTGATTTTATCGGGATTGTTTTACCGTTTGGTTGTTGATTGCGATTTTTTGGGGGTTGAACTAGAATGGAGAGTGGTGCTTGTGGATTTAAGGAACCATGGAAGATCGGCTGAACTGGAGGGATTCGATCCTCCTCACGATATGGTAAATGCTGCCAAGGATTTGGGGAAATTAGTTCAATCTCAAGGCTGGGCGTGGCCGGATGTTGTTATGGGTCACTCCATGGGTGGGAAGGTCGCGCTTCAATTCGCTCAGAGCTGTAATTGTGGTGATTATGGAGATTCAGCTTCATTGCCTAAGCAGGTTTGTTTAACCATCTTGTGTTTATGCTAAATTTCCGTTCTCCGCGCTTCAATCAGCACTAGAACTCAGGATTCATGTTAACCAGTTGAGGAAAGAATGACATTTAGATTCAAACTCAAGATACTTATCAGATCACCATTAATAAGGGTATATTCTTAACATCTCACAAGAACAGGGTCATTAATTTCGCAGTGATTCATTGAGATTGGGGCTGCCACTTCGATTATTTTGTGCTTAAGATCAATGAATTCCCAAAACTTAAGAACAATATACACAATGTGGATAAAAACTCAACTACTCTAGTTTCCTGGGTTATCAGTTGAATTAGAATAGTTTCTTTATCACTTGCAAAATATATAATGATTATGTCTTTTATAGATGTATGCTTGAAAATTTTTACATGGATTTTATCATCCGACTATTGGATTAGTGGTGATCAGTTTGACTCATGTTCATATTCCTAAGAGGTGGAAAATTTTTCTCTTCTACCCACATTAAAATGAATCATCTGGCCTTTTCCATCTTTCCTTGATGCAGAGCAGCTATGGGTGTTTGATTCCGTCCCTGGAAATGTGATCCCCGAAAATAGCGATGGAGAAGTTGAGAAAGTTTTGAAGACTTTGCAGGGTTTACCTTCATTGGTACCGTCAAGGAAGTAAGTAAAACTTACTTTATCCCTTTCTTTTATAGTTTTTTTCCCCCTGATCATAACATCCAATCACTAGCTACTAGCTACTGATGTATTTCTTTCATGCGTTTATGTAGTGAAATGATAAGTTTTTTTTGGTGGTCAGGTGGCTTGTTAATCATATGATTGAACTCGGTTTCTCGAAGTCATTATCAGAATGGATAGGCAGCAATCTGAAGAAATCTGGGGAGCATGAGACATTTACTTTTAATCTTGAAGGAGCTGTGCAGATGTTCAATTCTTTCAGGTACCTGTTTAATCTCAAACCACTTCTTTTTGAAAGATAGTGAGCAAAAGCATACTGTTGGCAGTTGATTTGTTGTTGATTTATGAGCTAAATTTTGTTAGGGAGACATCATATTGGTCTCTTCTAGAGCATCCACCAAAAGACATGGAGATTGCAATTGTGCGAGCGGAGAATAGCGATCGCTGGAATCGTGAAACCGTTCAGAACCTTGAAAGCCTCTCCAGCAAGGGATCTGAAGGAAAGGTTTCGGTTCATGTTCTTCCCAACTCTGGCCACTGGGTTCATGTCGATAATCCGAAGGGGCTCCTCGGCATTGTTGCTCCAAAAATTTCATCCCTTTAATTCTACTCGGTCTCGAGACATTAGTTTTCTACCATTAATTAAACCAAATATTTCTTTAGATCATGAGTTCTACCCCATCTTTTATCATCAAATTCTGATGATCATTTACGACATTGTCGATTAGTCGGCCGTCACGACGGAATCTTGTGACAGGAAAAGGAACTACATCATTTGAGTTATCTTGATTTTCTGTTTGTATGATGATAATAAGCCACCTTGAATTGACAATAGAATGTTTTGCCGTATGTAATATGTATGACTGGGATTTCGACCAATTAAGGGAGCCAAAAAAATTGAGTATTTACATTCGATACAAAGATAAAATGTCATTTCAGATTTACTCAAATTTGTAAAAAAAAAAAAAAACTAAACTAAACTGTGGTACTTATTATTATTATTTTGGTATTTTGTTGTAATTTTGCCTATTTATGAATATTATTAAAATACCATAAAGTTTAGAGGTGTTTGGTATAATTAAACGTTTGTATAATTATTAAGGTATAAGTTAATCATGTTGTAATAAAAAAAAAGTTAATCATGTTTCAATAGAGGTAATTTTTTTAAAGAATGGCATAAATACAAATGTTAATTTATAATTTTATTTGTTACTAAGATTTTAAATGTCGATGTAGATGAAAATGTCGATATCTCAATTTTATGTAAATGTCGATAGAAATATTGATAAAATTTTAACGTTGATAGATATTTCTGAAAAAATTATAAAAAAAATTTAAATTAACAAAAAAAAAATTTCATACTTTCTAAATAAGTTTAAAATAATTATAGATTTTGTTGATATATTTTTTTATATTTTATTGATTTTTTTGTAATATTATAAAAATGTCGATTTATCTTTTTGTCGATGTCATATCTATACATACATGAAAATGTCGATATGTTAACAGATATTTCCTACCTTATTTGTTAATAATTTTATTGAATAATGATGATGGTATGGTAGAACTAAATTAAATTTAAAAACGCGAGGATAAATAAAAATTATTTAATAATAAAAGAAGATTTGGGGCGAATTCATAATTTGGGGAAACTTAGAGGGCGATCAAGTTATTTTTCTACCTTCGCCCTCATTCTGAAAACCCTAACTATAAAAGTAAAACATCATCTTCCATTGGAGCTCCAGCTCGTCCAAGGTTCCTAAACTTCCCTTGCAGAGTTCAGCTTTAACCCCTCACCATGGTATTTCATCATTCTTTCATCTTCGTTTTTCTCTTCTATTATAATTCCTGTATTCAATCACTTCAGTTTCAGTCACCGGCAGATTACAATTGCTAGTTGGGAAGTAAAATGTAGGAAATCTTATGAATAGAATATGTGGTTAGCAATCGAATCGAGATATGGTCTCCGGTTATGTCAGCCCAGATAAGGAGATCGATATTGTGTACTTCTATTTGACTTTCGCGTTGTGAAACCGATCGAGGCTTTGATTTTCGGCGCATTGTAATCTGTGTGCCCGAAGATTTCCATTTTCTTTCCGATGTATTCATCATTCGCGAGATTTATACTCAATTTTAAGTAGTAGCATTGTACTCTAAAGGTTAGCTAATGGTTTAGCCTCTTTGGTGATTTGTATTCTGTAGTCGAGAAGGAAGACCAGAGAGCCTAAAGAGGAAACTGTCACCCTTGGCCCTGCTGTTCGTGAAGGAGAGCATGTCTTTGGCGTCGCCCACATTTTTGCTTCGTTTAATGATACATTTATTGTGAGTGATCTTGATTAAAATTCTTCATTCAAGTACTTGTTGATGAGTTTTTTAATTGACTACTTGTGTTATGCTTGAATTGCAGCATGTGACTGACCTGTCTGGTCGTGAAACGCTTGTTCGCATTACTGGTATGAAATTGCTCACTCGATGTTCAATTTTCTTCTGGCATTGCTTTTGGCGTGGTTCATGAGTGATTTAACTGATTGTACTTCATGGTCACTGGCATGGTTTTTGGTTGACCACGCTCCCTGTACTAATTGTCATCACGATTTGTTATTCTTTGTTTTCTGAATTGTTGTACGGAATGATATATCTCTTATTTGCACAGGTGGCATGAAGGTGAAAGCTGACAGAGATGAATCATCTCCTTACGCTGCCATGCTTGCTGCACAAGACGTTTCTCAGCGATGCAAGGTTTGCTCAATAATGGGATTATTTTTCTATTGATCCGAATGTTCTTAATCTAAATGTGGAGAACTGCTTTATAACTGCACAAGAGTTATGCATTTGTATTGATTGGCTTGCCTTTGATATAACTGGCTTGTTGTAGCATTGTGTTTTTCCTTCTGAAACCACATATTGGCATCGCAAGCATTCAGCTTTTCATAGTTGATCTCTCTAAGTGCTTGTAATTTCTTGCAGGAACTCGGTATTACTGCTTTACATATAAAGCTCCGTGCTACCGGTGGAAACAAAACCAAAACTCCTGGGCCTGGTGCTCAATCGGCTCTTAGGGCCCTTGCTCGTTCAGGCATGAGAATTGGTCGTATAGGTATGTATACACACTTTCTTTATTCACATGGATGGCTGGTTTTCTTTCATGGAAAATTTGCACTGAAAAAATGATACATAATCTATAGTTTCATGGAAAATGGAAAACATCCGAAGGAGTTGCGGAAAAAACTTCTCCATTTTTCACCTAATTGATTGCTAGTTGCTATGGTATTTTGGTATCAAATTTATCTGATATTTCATATGGTGGGAAGTTTCATCTTCCCAAGCCCAATTCCCACTTCAAAGTAATTTTGGCTTTACAGTTCTAGTAATGGAAGTATCTAGTACTTTTATTGGAAACCGAACATAATTTTAGTTTCAGTTCAACCAATCTTTCAATGCTCATCATGTTCCATAGATTATTCTTTGGAGTTTTCAAGTTCATTATCTTTGAACGAACTGCAGCCTTTGCAATCTTAAAAACCGTTGTATTTACACAAATTAATTCCATCTTGCCAGAGGATGTAACTCCGATCCCTACGGACAGTACACGAAGAAAGGGTGGCAGGAGAGGAAGAAGGTTGTGATTCCTAGCCTCCTTTCGAATTATGGAGCTCTTACTGCCGCTTCAGTTGCTGTTGAATGCTATAGTTTTGGAGGAAAGGTAGCTTTTTCTTGTGTGCTAAATTTAGTCTTGATGTTCAAGATTATTGGTTTTATCAACATTTTTGGCATTTTGATTCATGCAATCCAAGACGATTGATTATAGTACAACTTTTTGGCTGCTGTTTAGTACTTTCTTTATATGAATATGACTTATTTCGCAGAATTGAACTACAATACGTTATTCACCGTCCAATTTTCTGACCTCTGTTTCTTCAATTTATTACTTCTACGGTTATTTATGTGATTGTGATTTGCTAACTTTCATTTATGAATTTGTTTCTTTTTTTTTTTGTCTTACATCCACCTCGATTAATCTTATAGAACGATCAAGTTGTTGGGTTTTTGTTTACATACTCCAATGACCATTATGCTAGTCTACTGTGGTTACGTCAACGATTTTCATTTGATTAGCATAAAATAACTTTTTGTAATGTAGCATAAGATTGATTTTTTCAAAAGTGTGTTTTATTACGTTATGTTTAAGTTTGATTTTTATTTGAATTGAATTTCTCTGAAATTGCTGCGATGAAAATAAACCTAATAAAATCATATTGCTCAAATTTATTATTTTGCAATTTACATCACTCCCTCTAAATTGGGTTTGATTGAAAAATATCAAATGAGGCATAACTATAACTATGGAGTTGAAATATTTTTACCTTCTCAATGTAGGTATATCGATATTCTAAAACTACTAACTGATAAAATAAGGTTAAATATCAAATGAGGCATAACTATCGTACCATTGAAACTTCAAATCAATATCAATATTAGTGGTGTTCACGGTTGGGTTGGGTTGGTGGTATTTTTGGGATCCATTCGAATTTCCGGATTGGGAATTTGTGGGAACCGTCGTGTTGACCAACCCAACCCAATACATTTTGGTTGGATTTTACAATGACCAACCCAACCCAATAAATTTTGGTTGGATCGGGTTGGGTTGTCGGGTTCTTTTTTTAATTGATTATTTAATTTACTTTTGTTTTGTTTATAACATGGACTAAAGAAAATATAGAAAAATCAAAATCTTAGTTTAAGCACAAATTCAAATCCTAATTGATAATTTAATACAAATTTTAAAATTTTACATTCAAAGTTTATCTAAATGTTAGTAAAGAGAGAGAATTCATAAGGGAGAAGATTGAATTGAAACCTAAAATCAATGGTTTAGATTTAATGAAATGAAAAAAAAAAGCTTATAATCTCAGGTCGGGTTGACTCGGGATTTTCAAGGTAACCGAGACCCGACCCAACCTGGTCGGGTTGGGATTTTTCCAACCCAACCCAATTCAATGTTGGGTTTGTCAGGTTGTCGGGTTCCTTGAACACCCCTCATTAATATTAGTCCAAGTTTTCATTAGTGAATTTATTAAATTTTAGGTATAGAAACGTGAGTTATCTTGAATTTTAGAATGAGGAATAATTTTTTTAGGGAGGGAAATTTGGAAGGGAAAAAAATTTTAAATGAGAAAAAAATTTGTTAAAGAGAAATATGTCAAAAAAAAAAAGTTAAGTTTTAGGGTAAAAGAATGAGATTTTGAAAAACAAAAATATATTTATAAAATTATTTGTTTTTTGTTTCTAAAATTACATACAACTTCAAAATAGCTTTTAAAAAATAAAAATAAAAAATTGAATTATTTATCAAAGAGCTACCCTAAGTTTTTATACACTAACTTATGTGCGTGTGTTTTTTTTCAATATCTTATTTTTAGAAACCTTTTCAACTTATAAACCGAACTTTGAAAACATAATATTTATTTTTAATTTTAAAATTTGGCTAAGAATTAAAATTTCATAAATCAAGCATAATATTTTCTTTTTTAAAAAAGACCAGTAGCTAAATTTATTGGTCCGGAAAAGGTATTTTACTAATTTTTTTAATGTTTCAGAAAAAAAGGTATTTGTTTTTAGAAGAAAATTATTCGAAAAGTTTCCACAAAACAAAAAGTTAAACAATATACCCGGGTCGGGCAAAGATTCGGATTCGTGGAAATAAAGCCCTAGACGTATGCTATAAATTCAATCTCTTCATCCCTCAAAAAGAGGAGGTGCAGATATTCCTTCAAGCCCTAACGGGCGATAGCAGCAATTTCTTCAACAATGTCACCAAGGTTCGATTCGATTTCCGACTCTGATCCCTGTTTGATCTATTTTCATTTTAATCTGTTCGAGCTAGGGTTTTGAATAATCGCCATCCCACTAAAAGGGCACAATATCGCATCCTCTTCTGTTGTTATCGTGCAGAAGAAGATATGTTTGTTCCCGATACTGATTTCCATTTGACTTTGTCAACTGAATCCCTTTACTTCCAGTTGATTTTCAATGAATGGAACATCTGTTCTGTTTTCGCATACTTTTTTGTGTTTCTTGTTCATACGGGACAAGTTGAACCTTATATTGCAATTAAAATGCAACATATGGCATCAAGTTCCCTAAAGTGATGTCCACCAATGCATTTGATTTCTGTCGACTGGTAATTAAATGTTTGCAGTTGATGCTTTTTGGTACATTAATCACGTTGAAGCTTTTAATTCCACACACCTGCTCTTCCAAACACTTGAAAATGGAAGCTATGTTCAATGTTGTTGTCTTTAACTTACTTTGTTCTCGTATTGGAATCGAGTTTTGTTGCCGTTGATTCTTGTATTCTGTATGGCTGCTTTGTTATAGATGTCCCACCATGGCCCCAACCCAAGCTTTTCGGGCCTACTGTGTCTTATGAATTCTTCCCTCTCCCGCTCATCAGCAGCCAGCCCTTATTTGCCCAAACTAGACCCGACCTATTTTACTGTGCAATTCCATCTCCCAGTGAGACTACTCGTCCAATCTCATCCACTTGAAAATTTGTTTAAAAGTTTGTAATTATGTTAGTTTTGCAGCTCCAAGAGAGAATTTCAGAATTCTAAGTATTGAATTTATTAAAAAAATCCTAGTCCAGTGGACCAATGTAGGGCTTAGAGGGAATAGGTTTAGATTAGTTGTGTTATATGAGATTCTTCGAGGAAGAGAGTTTGAGATGCACACTCACAGATAAAAAAAAAATCCTACTCCAAATCTTCATACCAATTGAGATGAACCATGGAGAAGAACACAAACCAAAGAGCTTGCACAGGTACCATTAAGGTTACTTTTCTAGTTATTTCCGCTCGAATGGAGATTGCTTTCTTTCTGTTGATGATACTCATATTCAAATTGGTTTAGTCCCTTTCGATTTGAGAGTTTTTTCTATTTTTGTTATTATCTGTGATGTTTATAAAATACTTAGATTCTATAGTACTCCTTTAGCACTCAAATTGAGAGAAATCTAGAGAAATAGTAGATGTATCCTAATCACAAAAGGAGACAATAATATCCTCCCATATACTATTTAGGTATTTATAATACCATATTAAAATTGAATAAATTATCACTTAATTAGGTAAATTTAATTTATATATGGATATCTCACCATTTTCTCCTTCGTTGAGATAAATTGTGATAAATCGTTTCATGTGGCACTGTCACAAATACACGTGTCCGAACATTGTTTCACGTGGCACTGTCACAAATACACGTGTCCGAACACTGCACATTATAAATAGTGGAAGTGGAGTAGACAAAAAGCAAGCCTATTTCCTTGAAGAAAAGAAGAAAAGAAGAAGAAGAAGAAGACGATGGAGGGGAAGAAGTTGGCGGTGGTGGTGGTGTTGATTGCGGCGGTGTTTATGTGTTCTTCCGCCCAATCAGCATTCGGCTTTGAAAATAATAATAGGGTGATCCAACTCCAACTCGTCTCTGATCATAAAAATGATGATGGCTTCAATGGCGGATATTCCAGAAAAATGTTGAAACGAAATTCAGCTTCAGCCTGTGCTGGAATGGGCTGCAACGTCATTACAAGCTATTGCTATGCTGGCTGCCATTGCGAATTTTATAATTTTCCTTATGGAATGTGTATGGATAATTAAACATCTCCAGTTTCACTTTCACCTCCACTAGATTATGTAATAAGCACCTGTTTTTTTTTATTTTGCCAAAAAAAAAAACTTTCCTTCATCAAAATAAATAACAAATTATTGGGAGATCAATTTGATATAAATTGATCTTTTTATCCAAGGTTTTATGTAATCAGTTTTCAAGAGTGTTTTTTTAATGAATAAAGTGGGGTCGGTTTAATTAATTAGTGTGGTTTTTCCTTCCTGTTCTTTTGTTTGTTATATATATTTTTATTTTATTTCTAATATTTAAACAATAAAATAAAATCAGTTAATTTTTTATTCAGTTATTCAATCAAAATCAGTATCAAAGTATACCAGTACAACATTATAATTGTTGCAATATTGTATTATTATAAAAAAAGGGGACAAATTCAAATAACTTGTTGAAAAAATTATATTGATTTTTCTCAAAAATAATATTCACAGAATATGTATTTGAAGTTAAGAAACATTTACTAGATTTTTGTAACTTTCACTTGCACAATGTCATAATATATTGTGGTTTCACTATGGCTTTTGGCTAAGAAGAAAGCTCCATCTTAAATCCAAATGAAAATTATTTTTCATTAAAATTAAGGTTAAATATATAGAAGGGTTCGTAGTCTTTTAAGTAGTTTTCAATGCGGTTCTTAATTTTTAAGAATTTTAATTTTATTCCAATTTTCTCTCTATGTATAAACAAATTTCAATTAGGTTCTGCCATGAAAATATATCCTTAAAATTTAAGAAAATTGATGTATCATTTTATTAACATATTTGGATATATACATGTAACTTTGACGTTAGTTGTGAAATTCAAGTCGTACTCATTAACAAAATTAGACCCGTTCATCAACAAAATATGTTTCACTAAACGGTTCAGCTTTAGGATTTTGATTCTTTAATTTTTATAAGTTTGATTCAATAAGCTGACAAAAAGACAGCAATCTCCCTTCTTTTGTGAGAGAATTACAAAAATAATACAAAAGAAATATATATCTATATAGTAGATTTCAAATTTTACAAAAATACCATAAATTACAAATCAATCGGATAATTCAATTAAAAAATTGTTACATTTTATTAAAGGTTGATGTATTATTAAGTTATTATTTTATTAATATATTCGAATCGATGAATATGCAAAAGGCTTTGATGTTAATTGACATGAAAATACAACTTTCATTAATTTAACAAAATCCACCTCACTTATCAACAAAACTTGCTTCTTCCTATTTTCCAAAAAAAAACTTGTTTCTTCCCTATACTATAACATATCCAGGTGACATTTTGGATTTGTTCCTTACGTGGCAGTGGTGGATCCATCTTGGCTCCTCCCAAAGAAAACCTGCTCCCGTGTGTACTATGCAAAAAACAATATTGCAAAAATCCACCTCTCAAAGGGTATTTGATGAGAGAATTGAATTAATGAAGAGAACATGGAAGGTGGGCTTAAGAAGATGGCCGCAGTGATATTGGTGTTGGTGGCACTGCTACTGCTTATGAGTTCTTCGGCCTTGGCGGCTGAAACTCAAACTCAAACTCAAACTGTGATTCAGCCGCTGGTCTCTGGATCCAGAAAAATGTGGAAAAATTACAATTCAGCCCTCCGACATCGTTGCACTGGAGCGGATTGCGAGCTTGGTGGTTCGGACGAGTGCGGTGATGGGTGCAGCTGCAAACGAACTGAGATGTGTTCTCGACTGGTTTTAAACAACAAACCAGAAAAAAACTTGCTTTCATTTTCCCTCTTTAGTTTAGTTTTGTCATCCATTTCCCTAAGAATAAAATAAATAATGGGAACATCAATTATGTGTAATGTAATCTCAGTTTTTAAGCTGCCTGTCTTTTTGTTTATGAATAAATGGGAGATCTTTTTTTTTTTAATTATTAATTATCATGAGAGACAAATATCATACGCACCATTGCTATGAAGGGATTTTGAAATTCACCGAGACCTTTGGAAGATGCAGATAAAAAAATACACAAGACTTTAGGAGAGATGGATGAGCAAAGGAGGTTGCGAACATCAAAATATCGTTGTCAATGAATGTTGGTAGAGAGTTAAGGTGGGGTGGCAGTGGAAGCTCCCAAATAACAAAAATAACAACACACCAAGTACTGTTGAAGAGCTGCAGAGTAAGAATTAGAAGATGTGGTGGGCGGCGACAATTCAAATTCAGCCGTCGGTTGTCTTTTTCTTTATGAATAAATAAGGGATGTCAATTTTTCTTTTTAATTAGTGTGATTCAATTTTTCTTCATATTTATTTTTAATTAGTTTTTGCATTCTCGATTAATTGATGCCATAACTAGCATTGAGCACCAAGACAACACCAATCTCAACTCAAAGACTCA